CCCCTGGCCCCGAGCGTTATGAGGGTTAACAGACTGGATGTCTGAGTACCAACATAACTGAATAAGACCGGGTGGCGGACGTTGAAAAACTCGTGCACTAACAATGAATAAGACCAAGTACATCGTTCACTATCGCAACCTACAGCTGTACCGTATGTCGTTGGGTATGAGGCTGACCAAAATACACAGGGTGCTGCGTGTTCAACCAGAGCCCATGGATGGAGCCCTACATCAGAATGAACACAGACCTCCGAAGCTTGCCACCAGTGACTTTGAGAAAAATCTCTACAAGCTCATGAACAACTTCGGTGTTTGGTAAGACTATGGAGAACCTTAGGAAGCGGCGTGACCGTGAAGCTGGTTCGGTCGAATAGAGGAAGACAAGCTCAGGAGACTGATAGCCAGTCCGACATTCAACCGTAGCAAAATATTCACCCGATGACCTGGTTGCCCTACACATGAAGAAAAGCCACATAAAATTCAACCGGCCTGTTTTCACGTGGGGATGAGCATCCTCGATTTATCCAAACACCTGATGTACGACTTTTACTACAGCGAGCTTAAGAAACAGTACGACGACAGGTGCGAAGTGCTGTACACTGACCGGGATTCCCTGCTGATGGAGATTCGAACCCGAGGGCGTGTATGAGGACATGAAAAAACACCTCGATTTATGCGACACCAGCGACTACCCAAGGACCATACCATACACAGCACGGTAAATAAAAGGTCCTAGGTAAGATGAAGGACGAGTGTGCTGGCACGCCCATAGCAGTACATAGGGTTGAGACCTAAGATGTACTCCATCCTGAAGAGCTGACAATGAGTGAGATCCGGAAGGCTAAGGGTGTTAAGAAGTGCGTGGTGAAACAACACATCAAACCGCGCCAGATTCAAAGGAAGCCCTGTTCAAGACCCGTACCTTTAGGCATAAAATGAACACACTTAGAAGTGATGGCCATAAGATATACGGACTGACAATAAACAAAGACGTCCCTGTCGCCTATGGATACTAAGCGTTGGATAGCTATTGATGGGATAAACACGCATTAGCATGGGCATGAAAAAATTGAACCAAGAACATAGGTATAAATAAATACCCTGTCGAGGCGACATGTCACGGAACCAGAGAAAGTTTGAGGCTATTTACTATAGCCCGTGGGTACTGGAAAGGAGCTAAGCTGTAGATAAGTTGGCTAAAATGGCGCTGAGTACCTACGGAGGAAGCCAAAGCGTGGCGAAAAACAAGCACTTTGGCAGATCTATTTGCCGCCACCACGCGCTATGTGCCTAGAAGGAAGTTTGGTATTAACATACCTAATAGCGTTCACCAGGCAGACCTACTGTTCCTACCCCACGATAAGAGGTATAAGTATGCCTTAACCGTGAGTGGGCGTAGCCAGTCGCTACAAGGAAGCCGAGCCCTTGACCACGAAAGATTAGGTCCAGGTAGCCAGAGGATTGAGCATATACAAGCGTGATCGCTGGCGTGGCCAACAGAGCTGCAAGTTGACCCAGGGCGGGGAGTTCATGGGTGCCGTGTCACAACTGCTAGCCAAACCACGATACAAAGGTCAGGCGTGCGCGGCGGAGCCCATCGCCAGCCAAGCCATAGTTGAGAGATATAATAGGACTTTGGCTGAAGCTTATTCGGACATCAGTATGCTAGGGAGTTGGCCACCCGGAAACGATCGACTGAATGGGTCACGAGGTTACCCAAGGTGGTGTCGGCAATCAACCATGAAGTCACCCGTCTCACGGGCAAGAAACCGGCAGGCGCTATAAAATTAAAATCAATAGTGTCAGAGTCGGCGGCTCCATTGCGTGGGAAGGAGAAGCAGATACCAGATAGGGCCCTAGTGAGGTATCTATACCAGCCTGGGGAACACGAGGGTGATAGCCGTGAAGCGAGCCACCGATCCTATATGGTCAGTCAAAACTTACAACATAGATAAAGTGGACATGAAAGTAGATGAGCGAACTTGTACTACTTGAGGGATGGGCCAGGCAGAGGATTTGTAAGAGAAGAATTATTGATCGTGCCGTGCGGCACAGTGTTACCTCCTGTCAACCACGGCATGGCGGTGTCCCAGGATATAGCCATGTATCCGTCAAAGTTAGCTCAGCGTTAAGTATCCGCCGTTGTCTCTGCTCTGCAACTTTGTGTGATGTGAGAGAAAGGCAGCCCGGCACAATTCCCAAGGGAGGAAGCGCCAATACATTTCTATTTCTCCCTTTGGGAATTGTGGCTGCTGAAGACATTTTACTACTTTTAAGCTTGAAATTTTTATAGGTTGGGAAAGCAGTAGGGGTAATGGTAGCAAGAGCTAAGGGTCCGACCAAAGCCTTATTTGGGGAATAAGGCTTTGCAGAACTTTGTTGGAACTGGTCCAGAACCCCATTACCTATACTACTAGGGTGGGGGTTGGTGGTACAATGAGGTGGGGGTTGGGGGTACAATGAGGATTGAGGGGGGGTTGGTGGTACAATGAGGGTGGGGGTTGGGGGTACAATGAGGGTTGAGGGTGGGCAGTACAATGAGGGTGGGGTTGGGGGGTACAGTGAGGGTTGAGGGTGGGCAGTACAATGAGGATTGAGGGTAGGGGTTAGTGGTACGTTGAGGGTGAGGGTGGGTGGTACAATGAGGGTTGAGGGTAGGGAATGTCAAGGTAAACTAGAGGAGGATCTGGAATGAAGAGGTGTGGTAGGGGTGGGCGGTAAAAATTTAGCAGGGTAAGGGATAGTACTCTTCAATAAAGACCAAGTTTCAGAAGTTGAATATATGTCTTTCAGTATGTTCAGAAACAATCAAAGAAACATGTTAAAACTCATCCTTATCCGATATATTCAGGTGATATTTGACTAGAATTAAATTTAAGGGGGTATACGGGCGGAAGTCTTTCCCAAAGCTGTCATTTAAAAAGATTAATAAAATGACGTTACAAAAACCAAAACATTACGGTATACCGAACCAAAGGCAAAATACTACGGTTCTGCTAATACTGCGGTATACGGTTTCACCCCTACGCTAGATATACTCCTTATTCACCCTGTAACAACGATCAACAACACCGCCATATCACATCTATACTAGTCTAGAATATTGCACATAACAGTTACAGATAATGATTGTCTGTCACAATATACCGGTATTCGAAATGTACACAATCAACTCAATGTGGTATTAATGAATACACCTAAGCCATTAATTACATCCGATGAATCGTACCAACATTTACTGAAACTGCATCAATTCCAATGATATGTAAGTTAAAATCAATGCGGTTCACAAAGAGGCCTACGTAGATTATATGGAAAGAATTTACACCTATAGTCCGTTTGGCTCAAAATTGGACCGATGAATTGCAATCTAACTCGAAAACTAATAAACATAAAATACTCAATGAAACACTGATCATAATTAAAACGTCAGACCAACTCTGTAAGGTTTTTGCAGAATTTACATCCTAAAATTAAAAAGTTGTTTAACAAACTATCATTAAAATATTGACAATGTTCACTATTTGTTACGGGGGAGGAGTGCAAAGAAAGGGACAGCCAGGTGTGCGAGAAAGGATGGAGACGGCACAGCACAGGTTAATGAATCAATAACTTTGTGGGCACTTGGGCACGTGCTTCTCGAACACCTGGCTGTCCCTTTCTTTGCAGTGTTATGTCCTATGTAATATGTTTATAATTTAGTTAACTAACCTTAAACAGAGTATGGTTGTAGAGCTGAAGGAGGACACAGAAGTCGGTCCAAAATGTCCAAAATCTTAGGTGACTCTTGTACAGCTATGTAAGGTAGACTCACTTAAAGTGTGCTTGTGTACGTGAAGAAAATTGACCAGACTAAACTGACCAATAAGAGAGCAGAGAATAGCTTGGCTTCTGAAATAAGGACAAAAGACACCCAGCACTCACTAAGTAGAACAATAGAGCTGGTTAGCCCAGGTCAAGCTTGGGGCAATCAAGCTGGACACAAGTACCATGTGTAATCTGATAAAACATACAGCCAAACTGTTTAAAGATGATACCATATTTACACAAGTACAACATAAACATATAACACTGGAACAAACAGAGCGTTAGGAGTGTGTGCCAGGGTTGACTGAAAGATGATCTAGAAATGAGTTGTGGTGCCAGGGTTGACTGAAAGATGATCTAGAAATGAGTTGTGGTGCCAGGGTTGACTGGAAGATGATCTAGAAATGAGTTGTGGTGCCAGGGTTGACTGAAAGATGATCTAGAAATGAGTTGTGGTGCCAGGGTTGACTGAAAGATGATCTAGAAATGAGTTGTGGTGCCAGGGTTGACTGAAAGATGATCTAGAAATGAGTTGTGGTGACACAACTGTTCAGTTCTGTTGATTTTGAGGGTGGAAGTGAGTGAGTGAGTGAGTGATTTTAGTTTTACACAGCTTTTAGCAATATTAAGGCGGGGCACACCAGAAATGGGTTTCACATATTGTACCCAAGTGGGGAATCGAATCCTGGTCTTCGGTGTGACAAGCGATTGTTTAACCACTAGGCTACCCCACCGCCCCGATTAATTGTTGGAAGGATGAAAAGATGGCATTAATTAGTGAAGGAATGAAAGATTCTTTAGTTTATTAATGGAAGGATGGAATGTGGGATGATTTTTTGAATTTTGAATGGAATGGAGGAGACGATGGAATGAGGCTTTAATTTATGGAGTGAGTGATGGATGTAGGGAAACGAATGAAGAATGCTTTAGTTTATGGAAGGAGTGAATAGAATAAAATAAGGAATGATGCATTTAGAAATTTACAGCAGACCACCACTTACAGTTTTCTGATCAAACTTGTTACATATTATCTCGGATAAAAGTTCATATATTCATATTGCAGCAATCTTCCTTATTAGTAACAATCATCAACTCCTCGGCAAAATACTTCATTATCTTTTTCTTAGGTACTTCTGACAAAGACAAATTCCTTACCAATACTTTCATATAAACAATCAGTTTTTGTTTTGCAGCCTGCACCCAAGGTGACCACGAAGAATTACGTCAGGGAGGCAATCACTTGGATACGGAACCTGATTGGCCAGCCAGAGGGGTTCACGTTTGTAATGTCTGTGTTCGGATCAGGTCTTGTTGTAAATGTTCTCAACTGCTACCTGTTCTAATGGTGAATAATTCTCAGTAGGGGCTGATAACCAAGTTATCACAGCCCCGACTAAGGGTACAGTGTATTTCTCATGGCAGTTTCACCTGAGTTGGAGTCAGTGTGTTGGGGCCTTGGAACTTCGTCTGTTTGATCCAAAATTGAGATTCTGGTGTTCATGGTGAATACGGATGTTGAATGTGTTTTTGGCTAACAAACTGATCCGTGCAATCCTTGTTATGGAATTGTGATGTGTAGTGAAATCCTACATCACCCCTTCTGAGATCAAACAATGTGTAAGTTAACTATTTAGTTTACAGGTTCTATCTCACAGTAGATAAGCCTAGTGGTTAAAGCTTCGCTCGTCATGTCAAAGACCCAAGTTAGGTTCCCCACGTGGGTACAATATGTGAAGCCCATTTCTGGTGTGCCCTACAGTGATATTGCTGTAATATTGCTAATAGCGGCGTAAAACCATACTCACTCACTCCCAGTAGATTGTCAGGAGAAAAATTACTTGTTGGATTTTGCGGAGTGTTAATATACAACTATGGAGAAGTAAAGGACCACCTGTATTTCATTTTGCATCATCTGTCTTTTGAGTAGTATATTCACGTTACTGTTTTGATTCAAGGAAAATCAAATGGTTAATGGAATGGTGATCAGATTGTGAAATTGATCAATGCCGATTTTTTTCAAATGAATCTAATTTGACATCGAGAAATGGTGTGTATGGTTTTACTGAAAATGAAGGGGGTGGGGTTGGGTTGTTAGACTGCATCAATCTCTTGCTACTGTGAGATAGAACTCACACCATTATAATATTTCTATGAAGTATCTTTTTCAAAAGATACCTGTTTTTGAACAGCCATATTGATAGTGACTTGTCGTGTTCTAACGACAGATGTTACATCGTCAAAGCTGATGACTTCAGAGTGCACTTATCCAGGCCATTGGATTCCTGTGTGATGCAGTAGACCGATCAGAACGGTGTCACCAGTCAGAATTTGGGTATCTTTATCTTGATGTAGAGGAAGAGTAACATAGTGTGAATTTGATAAAAATATTTTATGAAAATATTTCATACTTACAATTACTTTCTAAGTTTTAAAGCCAAATACTATTTTGAGAATGACGAGCCAAATTACACCTGTTTATTCCTGGAAATCAAACAAGAATAGGTCAATGTTCGAAAACAGGTGACGTCACTTGAATCCAGCAGTGAATATCACACCTTGGTTTTATCAAGGATGGCACTTCTATAGGTAAATAACAATTCTGTTGATGTACACACAAATTAATAGTTCATGGTCATCAATATCAGCAATGACATCCTAACCTTTGAAAATAATGTATGCAAGGATATATCAGTGCATGTTAAGTTATTGCCAATATTTTGTAACTGTGTATACTTTCAACATGTCAAACATGTTTTGCTTTTCAATATTTGCCTTGTAATAATCAAAAACATTGGGCAGAAAAAAAGGAAAGGTTTATTTCTCCGGCACTTACCCTCAACAATAACGCTGCACTTTTTATTCATGCTTCTAAGAACATTTTTGGGGTGGATTCTGTCAATTCTAGGAAATCTTTGTCCATCCTTTGATTTGCCAGAGAAACATTTCTTCTTCTTTTTTTCGACTAATAAGATCTTTAACTAATACAATTTGTAATGGAGGTAACAACCTCACATGTAATAAGATTATAAAATTGTAGAAGTTACTTGATGGTGTTGTGTTTTGGAGCCTAGGAACTGGTTTTATAGACGTGTCAAACTAAGTGGCCTTGGCTTTGGCGAATGGTGAAATATGTGTCATAAGGCCAGACCTATTTGTTTTTTGTTTTACACATTGTTTTGGTCAAAGGGCAAGATGCATGCAGTAAAATAGCTAAAGAATCATGGTTTTGGGGTATTTCTTGAAACACTCTCAAATAAAAAAGCATTTATCATCATTTACCTCCACAGGAGGTGAGATGACACAATACCTTCTAGGAAAATGCTGTCGTTTTTCATGATGTCTTTATCAAATGACATTACTCCCTGCCACTGAAACTGGTTAGCTATGCCATTTACACTCAAGACACTGGCTAATGTCATAAAAAGTTGCAAGTGTGACTTCGGATGATAAACAGAATCACGGCCTTGATAAGCCTCTGAGATGTAAACTTTCCTCGAATGGTGTTGATATATTTGATTTCAAAAGACATTTGGCCAAAAGCTCTGAGTTCAGAGAACTGAGTGATTGGTATTAGACTTTCAACAACATAATTTCTGCAGTGCTGCAACTAAAACAAACAAACAAAATTGGTTTGGCCTCATAGAAGAGAAACATGCATGAGAAATGTTATAACTATGTCATAGATGTTGATATTTTTTCTTCAGTGAATATTTTATTGCCATGATAGTGTAATCAATTTTGCTTCAATTTTGTTTTTTTATATAAAATGATGGCCTAAAAACCTTCAAATTTTCAAATCAGTTATCTTGCATGTATAACTAAATTTAGATAACCAGCAATGTACAGTTTTTCAGTGAAACTGATAGACTTCTTTATAGACTGGTATCATTGTTTATTAAAACTTTATTGAAACTTTGAAGTAGGGACATCCTCAGTTATCAAGGGCTGTTTTTGCTTTCATGCTGTTAAGATAAAACCCTCCAAACATTCATTACCATAGCTTTGTTTTGCACAGGACACAAATGCCCTGATACTAAAACCATCCATGAAATTCTGTGCCAATGGAGATGAAATTACTGGCTATGGAGGCAAATGAGTCAAGGTATTTATCCGTACAGGTGGAAATATAATTCCTTGCATCACCAAGGATGGAATAAAATCTTAAATTTTACATTTATTTTTAAATGATCATGTAGCGAGCTAACTGTCAAGGTTAGCAGCATAATCGGACAGGTTTTCAATGTTGTTGAGGGGTATGTTTGACAACCAATCTCATTTGAAATCCTTCAATGCCTGACTTTGGAAACATCCCACAGCCTTTCCAACATCACTCTGAATCCCTGATATGGTTGTGTTTACAGCAGTTTGTTGTTTTGTTGTCTTCTGCTCAACATAATCATAATAGTCTGAAACTTCTAGTGATTCAGTTTCACCGTATATGTGAAACTTGTCTCTATAAATATTGCAAAATGGAGAATGTGTTTGAAAATTCAACTGATTTTTATTTAATCTGATCTGGAAATATTCTGGTAGTTTCTGATGAAACATAAATTAACGTCTCATCTTAGTTACAATATGCTGAAAATAATCATGAAAACTGATTGCAATGTTAGCCTGAAGCCTGTGTCTTGTAGCATATCATATAGTCTAGTACCCTCGGCTTGTATGAAATATGTACTGAAGATGATGTTAAGAAATATTTGGCAAATGATGTCATTTCTATTTTTTCAAAACCCTGTTATGAAAGTGAGAATGTTGTGAAAATAAGACATAATGATTTTAAAAATTAGGCGAAAAATAATGTTGAACATTGAATGTGGTACGAACAATAATCAACTTATGTCACCATGATGGGACCGTCAGGTAGTCAAGTGGTTAAGTGTTCACTTGTCAGGTCAAAGCCCAGGTTTGTGCGTTCACGTTGGGTCGTGTCTGGATGGACCAGGGTGTGGAATCATCCAACAGATGACATCCCTATCTCATCAGCTTGCCAACAGGGTTGACCTGTTTGGTGTTTTGGCCACTCTTTACCTGGTCATGCCACAACCATGTTCATGAGTTTGAATCTCATGGTCACACTGTCAGTTTTTAGGTCTTCAGCATGTGGTATTCGATTTCTTGGTTTTCACTTACTTGGTGTATTTTCAAAGGATTATGAACACAGTTCACCCATTCATGTTAGTTCTGACATACTTTTTGAATGTTTTCACATTTGGCACACAACGAGAAATCATCAGTAACTGTATGCTCCATCCCTATGGACCCCACCTACCATTTGTTGTCCAGATATACTGAGGGAAACAAATAAGGGAACACCACTTCATGGCAGTATTCTGTTGTTTATTGTCAGATTTCCTCACGCAGTGTTAATCAAAGCTGGTGATGAAAACTGGAAAATATTTAAGGAATGATTGAATTTTCCAGTGTTCCTATATTTGTTTCTCTCAGTATATTTTTGTTCCTCTTTATGCTCAAAATATGTCTATTTTGACCAATTTTACACCTCTGTTATATGGGAGATGGGACGTCACTCGTCACATGGTCTGAAAAACTACATTTTTTCAACACTGTTACTAGGACAGCTGAGATACATAAGAATTTGTATATTTCTGTAAAATATGTTAAATGTACTTTTCCTGTTTTTCTGAATACAGTGGACATAATGATCATAATAATAATGTTGGTGAACAGAAGCCACCAGAAATGTACGATCCTTAGGCACTACAAAGTGACATGCAGAGTTACTTCCCTTACTACCAGGATCCCTTGTTTGAATCCAAATTGAGCCATTTGAGCCATGATGTCAGTGTTTACAATGGCAGGTAGGAAAGTAGTACAACCTGTATGTCTTGGGTTTTCTTCCGAAGTTAACACACAGTAATGTTAGTAAAATATTGTGACAGAAATACGATAATATTGTGTGAAATATTACCATGTTTCTAAAAAAATGAAGCTCTTTGCAGCTGTTACATAATATGTAGACTTGCGTCAGTATATTCTTGTTGTATATTTCTTTACATTGTTTTTCACATGTGAAGGTGAAATATTTTAATGGTGCTATGTTTTGATGGGATGGTGTTTCAAGTTCATTATACACTTGTTGAAGGGCAGATAACTCTCGATCTTAGTCATCATTTCTGTTTACTATTGTTGAATTGAGCAATCAGCAGCGTTTTTGTTTATTGGGACCATTATTTTGTATAAATATACTCTTGTTCTATACTCACTATTCTGTTGGGGGATTTTGTATCAAGTGTTTATTAATGTCACATTTGACTGTTCAATATTTGTAGGTCTCAACATATGATCATTCCACTGGTGGAGTTGATTTTAAGACAAATTCTCAAGGTCTTTACACAATTCTTAATTCAATTGATTGATGACATTTATTTTGATTGCACTCATTGACAATATTGCATCCACAGTTTAATTCTTGTTTTTTTTTAGTTTTGAATAGTAATCCGTACAAATACATTATAATGATTTTTATTTCCTCCAATAACTGGAGAGTGACATGTATACTGTTAACACTGTTCAGCTAGGACTGAAACACATTTTAAACATATTTACTTAAGACTTAGATGTTGTCACAGTACATTCCTAGTTTTATTTGTGTATCTAGTTATCAGAATAATCTAGTAGCTTCCTAGTGTATAACAGTTATTCCCAACGATGGTGACGGTGAAGACATCTTTGTTTCTTTTCAAATAGGCATAATATTTTAATGTTATTTTACTTGAGCTTTCTGTTGAATAGGTAGTAGTGGTTGAGTCAGACCAGAGTAGCTGCTGTAGGCATGTAGTTTCTGAAGCTGTTTGAATTGGATTTTTCCAAATTTAAAAACGTCACCTGAGATGGATGATCACTCTTACTGTCAATTCACTCTAGCGATATTTTCTAAAATTTCATCCAATATACTCCGGTGGATGAATACTATGGATTCACTTTCATGTTTCTTCTGATTTTAGAAGAATGAGTGATATTAATTCATTGGGGAAGGTATTTCACATATCAGGCTTAAGTTATAATATAGATAAATTTTATATTTGTGATCTATTTCTCATATCCCACCTGTATTTATTTAGGGCCTGGTGTCACGGAGACTGGTAGAATTCTAATGTTGTAATAGCAAATGACACAGTTTGTTATACATAAAGCTCATTATACTGTATTTCCTCTAAAAGGTGTTTAGGGTTAAATGACTTCTTCCTGGAGTGTGTTTAATTCAAAGCCACATCAGCTCTAAGCTATATTGTGACTGATTTATTGGTGGAAATAAAACATCAAAACAAAATTCAATTTATGAGTGACTTATAGGAGCTTACTCAGAACGTACAAGCTGGAGCACTTTTTTGGAGGAAGTATGGATCTTGGAGAACCTTTATTTTGATGGAATTTGGGGTTTTATCCAAGTAAATCGATATTGACATCAAAACAAGCACAAGACTTTTTCTAGTTTTTGAAATAGACTGTTGCCAAATGAATAATTGCGCCAAATTTCTTTCTTTGTATGTTGATATAATTGATGGTTACAGCTTTGCATGCAATATAATTGTTTTCTCCAATAGTTCTCCAGAATTCACATCCCTATTTTCCTGCTGTAGTATTTTTGTTGAACATGGCAATAAAGTTCTTTAACAAAAAAAATGAAAATGGTTTATTATGTGTTTATTTGGTTGCTGTTTAACGCAGCGATCGGTGTGAGACAGCTGGTTACTGGTTATCATTTTGTTATCTCCGGTGATGTAATGTGAAGGTAGTTGAAAAGCTACAACTACTACCGTGTCAGCGAAGATCTCGTTATCATCGGAGTTCTTCTAACATGAGCGATTAGAGTAATTTCCAAATAAAGAATGAAGTATATATTGAAAAACCTAAAAATTTATTTGCATTTTCTGGTTTGTGGTATAAAATACAATCATTAATCAAAATACTATCTGACATGATACGGTAAAGTCTTGTTCAAATGTCCAAAATAAAGTTCACCTTCAATGGTAGCCACTTAACATTCACACAACTGCTGGTGGGAAGCAATCAAATTGTATAGCCATTTATCTAATCGGTTAAAATTAAAGAAGATAAAACTACACACAACTATTGAATTAAAACAAGTGAAATAGTTAAAGTTCAATGCAAGATCTGACATACCACTCAACATTTACTGGCACCAACACTTTGGTTGCCAAGCAACAGCTGCTTATCATGGGTCATTAACAGCATAATCAGTCACAAAGAAGTTAAATAAAAACACAAAACTCAGGAGCTATCCTGCCTTCAATATTATGCTGTTTCATTGTTTCAAAACAAAATTAATTATTTTTTGTTCCATACCATGAGAGGTTCAGATAAAATGAATTATTTGTAGAAAACTGGACTTGAATGTTAAATAAATCCTTTGGTCAGAACTGACATTACAAAAAACTACACAACAATACAAGATGGATTTCTGCAAAAAATATTATCAGCAATACTTATCCCAGAAGGAAGTGTCACTATGCTGTGTAACAGTAATTTCATAATACTGAACTGAATTCCAATGAAATAGCACCAGATCCTGTTCCTGCTTGTATTGGCTTCAGGATTAGCTCAAAATATTAGTTCCTCCGACTGTCTGACAGGGATTGGGATCGAAACAGACGCTCTGTCCACTACACCATGGATGTGGTCCCTCGTTTAAAGGGTTAACTATCAATTATCAGTGTGATAGACATTTATTGCTAAATTCTAGAGGTGTAATGATACCGTAAGACCGCAATGCCATATCTTTCTCAATACCATGGGTGTGATACAACTTGTGTCATGATACAGTATGTTTATTTCGTAAGTTCATATCCCATTTTGCATGTGAATGGGACCAAGTATTTTGTTTCAAATTTCACACAGCAAATGTGTGATACTGTCAGGGGGGAAACATAACCTTGGGTGCACTGGACAGCTTCAGCTGTTTACAGCCAGCCAGGAAATACAAGAGAATCTGCATTAACTAGTTCCTGAACAGTTTTTGACATCGTATTCATTACATGTTTTACCTCAGTATTACAGGAATGTAACTAGGGCTGGGACGATTCCCCAATACACCGCGATACATTTAAGTTTGATACAGCTATCGTATCGTCGACTGGTGTATCGATACAAAACGATACTCAAGTTTTTTTCAAAACAGTTTTATCTTAAACATGTTAAAGTTCTTATTTCGAGAAAAATAGGCAAGTATGATCGAGTTTCGTGCTTGTTTATTACAATAGTGTTATTATTATACACAAATTCATTGAAATTAATCTTTTTAAACCTTAATACTGTGCCATTCTTTCAAGGTGTAAGTATCGTATCGTATTGCAGGTAAAATATCGCATTACGTATCGTATCGTAACATAGTGTATCGTCCCAGCCCTAAATGTAACGAATCATGAATTGTGACACAGAAGTAAAAAATCGATGTATTGTATTTTGAGCCTCGTATCGCAGATCAAACCTGTACTACAGCATCATTACACCACTTGTCAACTGCAGTGTCAGTCTGGGACTCGAACCATCATCCAATCTAGTAAACTAGTAAAAATTCTTTCACTTTTTAAAGCTTTGCTAATGGAAGTACTTCAACACTAATGTCTGCTGGAAGTTGAAGTCCAGAGACAGATTCAGGCCAGTGGACTCATCAGTTTTAGCACAGGCTAGTGTATTAATCTCCAATGGAAATCAAGATATAATTCTACATCCATTGGCTTCTCATAATTTGATAAGACCTTTCAGAAACTATATGCCTACAAACTACAAAAATAATCAAGCACTCCTCCAACAAGTTAACAGTCTGATGAAAATAGTACAACATTGGGCACTGCAAGGACACGTAAATCAACTTTCATTAATAATCATGCTGAACTGGTCCTTATTTCAATTACAATAGCAATTAAAAAATACATATTCTGGACAATTGTTTTAAGATCAGTTTAAAAATCTCTAAAAATATAATGTCAAACAAATCACTTCTAGATGGATTAAAACACAACAATCACAGAATCAAGGCTTTAAAATAAGATCAACGTAGAACTGTATAGTTAACTTGGCAAACAATTTCCATCCATTCTTCTGATTAGTAAATATAAAAACACTTCTCTAAGCTCACTGCAGACAATGACAGACTGGGACTGTGTTTATGCATAGGCTTTACATAGAATATAATTTAGTCGATCTCGGGCAGGCTGGAAGTGAGACTGTAATGCAAGAGTTGATTTGTAAAATAGCACAGCATTGTCCCATTGTTCCTGAAAGAAAGACAAGCAATGTTACATGTGGCATACATTTTAAAAATTGAACATATTTTTTTAGAAGGTTACCATGGTAATTGCAAACATATGTTGGTTTGTTGTTCAATACTGCTTCCAGCAATATTCCAGTAGTTTATAAATGATTGAATCTGGACCAGACAATCCAGTGACTGACATCATAAGCATCAAGAATGGCAAATTTGGATAAATGACCCACATCAATACAGAACCCGTGAAGATCCTGGTTAGTATTGATCTTAGTAACCCATGTTTGTCGTAAGAGGCGACTAACGGGATCGGGTGGTCAGGCTCTCTGACTTGGTTGACACATTGTATCCCAATTGTGTAGATCGATGCTCATGATGTTGATCACTGGATAATCTGGTCCAGACACAATTGTTTACAGACCGCCGCCATATAGCTGGAAAACTACACTCACTCACTCATATCATTACGGTCAGCAAGCATGACCACATGATACAGCAAGGATTGTGAGGTGTTAGTCCCCACTTAAAACAAGCATGGGTTGCTTCATTGAACTTGGATGCTTCAGAGGATGACTACTAATACTGCTTCATTGAACTTGTCATGCTGGCTCTCAAATCAACAGAATTCAGAAGATTTTGAAATATAGTCACACAGCTTTATGAGCAAAGTTTTGGGTCTAACTCACCTTTGCTGCGTACAGGTTGGCAAGAGTAAAATGTGACACAGCTAAATTATCAGATGTATCTAACGCCATGTTGGTGATGACGATAGCATCGTTCAGGTTGTCTGTCTGGTGCATGACGTTGGCCATGCTGATCAATGCTGTGTCCTGGAACAACGGACATGAGGAGTGACTGGAGGGGTGAATCCCGTAGAAGTCCATGTGTTATAAGTCAGTGATTAGGGGATAAATTCTCATTGGGAGGAGTGATAACAACCTGCATGACTGACCCTATATTACCTATGGTGTATAACAACCTGCATGACTCACCCTGTATTCCCAATGTTGTATAACTACCTGCATGACTCACTCTGTATTCCCAATGTTGTATAACAACCTGCATGACTCTCCCTGTATTCCCAAGGTGTATAACAACCTGCATGATTCACCCTATATTACCTATGTTGTATAACAACCTGCATGACTCATCCTATATTACCTATGGTGTATAACAACCTGCATGACGCACCCTATATTCCCTTTGATGTATAACAACCTGCATGACTCACCCTACATTCCCAATGGTGTATAACAACCTGCATGACTCACCCTACATTCCCAATGTTGTATAACAACCTGCATGACTCACCCTACATTCCTTATGATGTATAACAACCTGCATGACTCACCCTACATTCCCAATGGTGTATAACAACCTGCATGACTCACCCTGTATTCCCAATGTTGTATAACAACCTGCATGACTCACCCTATATTACCTATGTTGTATAACAACCTGCATGACTCATCCTATATTACCTATGTTGTATAACAACCTGCATAACTCACCCTGTATTCCCAATGGTGTATAACAACCTGCATGACTCATCCTATATTACCTATGTTGTATAACAACCTGCATGACTCACCCTATGATGTATAACAAACCTATTCCCAATGTTGTATAACAACCAGCATAACTCACCCTGTATTCCCTATGTTGTATAACAACCTGCATGACTCACCCTATATTCCCAATGGTGTATAACAACCTGCATGACTCATCCTATATTACCTATGGTGTATAACAACCTGCATGACTCACCCTATATTCCCTATGATGTATAACAACCAGCATAACTCACCCTGTATTCCCAATGGTGTATAACAACCTGCATGACTCACCCTGTATTCCCAATGTTGTATAACAACCTGCATGACACTCCCTGTATTCCCAATGTTGTATAACAACCTGCATGACTCACCCTATATTCCCAATGGTGTATAACAACCTGCATGACTCACCCTATATTCCCTATGTTGTATAACAACCTGCATGACTCACCCTATATTCCCAATGGTTTATAACAACCTGCATGACTCACCCTGTATTCTCTGGGGGCATATGTAAGTGCAAGTCTCAGACAATTGATGGCTTTTGATGCCTCTCCTTCCACTCTCCAGTAGAGAGCCGCCAAATTCGCCAACACCCACGACGTTGCATTCTACAGACCACAATAGATGGCATGATTCTTAATTTTACGTGTTCTGTAACTTAACACATTGTGTTTACCTGTACAAACATTTTTCTTGACATAATTTTCTGGAAATTTAAGACCAAACATATGGGAAGACTTGGAGATCAGATTAGCAGCTTTAGTCACAGATAGTTCCTGTTTAGCGAAAATTGAGGACATTTGGATTAGACTGTGAAGAATATTCCTGTAGAGATCAAGATTTCTGCAAGTATCAAATCTTGTGTCTTACATTCCTTTTACTCTTATCTCTCTTGATATACAGGGGACATTCCAAACTGCACTTACCTCCTTTAAAGCACGTGCTATACGAGCCCCAATCACCTGAACTGGCTCATCATCCCCGCCTAGGCTCTGTAACACCTGTATAACAGACACAATCAGTCCCTGTAACATACATACAACAGACACAATCAGTTTCCATAACACCTGAACAACAAACAATCAGTTTCTGTAACACCTGTACAAGAGACACAATCAGTCCCTGTAACACACATACAACAGTCACAATCAGTCCCTGTAACACACATACAACAGACACAATCAGTCCCTGTAACACACATACAACAGACACAATCAGTCCCTGTAACACACATACAACAGTCACAATCAGTCCCTGTAACACACATACAACAGTCACAATCAGTCCCTGTAACACACATACAACAGTCACAATCAGTCCCTGTAACACACATACAACAGTCACAATCAGTCCCTGAAACACATACAAGAGACACAATCAGTCCCTGTAAAACACATACAAGAGACACAATCAGTACCTGTAACACACATACAACAGTCACAATCAGTCCCTGTAACACACATACAACAGTCACAATCAGTCCCTGTAACACACATACAACAGACACAATCAGTCCCTGTAACACACATACAACAGTCACAATCAGTCCCTGTAACACACATACAACAGACACAATCAGTCCCTGTAACACACATACAACAGTCACAATCAGTCCCTGTAACACACATACAACAGTCACAATCAGTCCCTGTAACACACATACAACAGTCACAATCAGTCCCTGTAACACACATACAACAGTCACAATCAGTCCCTGTAACACACATACAACAGTCACAATCAGTCCCTGTAACACATACAACAGACACAATCAGTCCCTGTAACACATACAACAGACACAATCAGTCCCTGTAACACACATACAACAGTCACAATCAGTCCCTGTAACACACATACAACAGACACAATCAGTTTCCATAACTCACATACAACAGTCACAATCAGTCCCTGTAACACACATACAACAGTCACAATCAGTCCCTGTAACTCTGTACAACAGTCACAATCAGTCCCTGTAACACACATACAACAGTCACAATCAGTCCCTGTAACACACATACAACAGTCACAATCAGTCCCTGTAACACATACAACAGTCACAATCAGTCCCTGTAACACACATACAACAGACACAATCAGTCCCTGTAACACCTGAACAACAGTCATAATCAGTCCCTGTAACACACATACAACAGACACAATCAGTTTCCATAGCTCCTGTACAACAGTCATAATCAGTCCCTGTAACACACATACAACAGTCACAATCAGTCCCTGTAACACACATACAACAGACACAATCAGTCCCTGTAACACTCCTGTACAACAGTCATAATCAGTCCCTGTAACACACATACAACAGTCACAATCAGTCCCTGTAACACACATACAACAGTCACAATCAGTCCCTGTAACACATACAACAGTCACAATCAGTCCCTGTAACACACATACAACAGTCACAATCAGTCCCTGTAACACACATACAACAGTCACAATCAGTCCCTGTAACACACATACAACAGACACAATCAGTCCCTGAAACACATACAACAGACACAATCAGTCCCTGTAACACATACAACAGACACAATCAGTCCCTGTAACACACATACAACAGTCACAATCAGTCCCTGTAACACACATACAACAGACACAATCAGTCCCTGTAACACACATACAACAGTCACAATCAGTCCCTGTAACACACATACAACAGTCACAATCAGTCCCTGTAACACACATACAACAGACACAATCAGTCCCTGTAACACACATACAACAGTCACAATCAGTCCCTGTAACACACATACAACAGACACAATCAGTCCCTGTAACACACATACAACAGACACAATCAGTCCCTGTAACACACATACAACAGTCACAATCAGTCCCTGTAACACACATACAACAGACACAATCAGTCCCTGTAACACACATACAACAGTCACAATCAGTCCCTGTAACACACATACAACAGACACAATCAGTCCCTGTAACACACATACAACAGACACAATCAGTCCCTGTAACACACATACAACAGACACAATCAGTCCCTGTAACACACATACAACAGACACAATCAGTCCCTGTAACACACATACAACAGTCACAATCAGTCCCTGTAACACACATACAACAGACACAATCAGTCCCTGTAACACACATACAACAGACACAATCAGTCCCTGTAACACATACAACAGACACAATCAGTCCCTGTAACACACATACAACAGTCACAATCAGTCCCTGTAACACACATACAACAGTCACAATCAGTCCCTGTAACACACATACAACAGACACAATCAGTTGCCTGTAACACACATACAACAGACACAATCAGTCCCTGTAACACACATACAACAGTCACAATCAGTCCCTGTAACACACATACAACAGTCACAATCAGTCCCTGTAACACACATACAACAGACACAATCAGTCCCTGTAACACACATACAACAGACACAATCAGTCCCTGTAACACACATACAACAGACACAATCAGTCCCTGAAACACATACAACAGCCACAATCAGTCCCTGTAACACACATACAACAGTCACAATCAGTCCCTGTAACACACATACAACAGACACAATCAGTCCCTGTAACACACATACAACAGACACAATCAGTTTCCATAGCTCCTGAACAACAGATGCAGTCTCTGTAACATCTGTACAACAATCAATCAGTTTCTGTAACACCTGTACAACAGATGCAAACAGTCTCTGTAGCACCTGTACAACAGATGCAAACAGTCTCTGTAACACCTGTACAACAGACGCAAACAGTCTCTGTAGCACCTGTACAACAGACGCAAACAGTTTCTGTAACACCTTTACAACGAAGGCAAACAGTCTCTGAAGCACCTGTACAACAGACGCAAACAGTTTCTGTAGCACCTGTACAACAGACGCAAACAGTCTCTGTAGCACCTGTACAACGAAGGCAAACAGTCTCTGAAGCACCTGTACAACAGATGCAAACAGTTTCTGTAACACCTGTACAACGAAGGCAAACAGTCTCTGAAGCACCTGTACAACAGACGCAAACAGTTTCTGTAGCACCTGTACAACAGACGCAAACAGTCTCTGTAGCACCTGTACAACAGACAAACAGTCTCTGTAACACCTGTACAAGAGACGCAAACAGTCTCTGTAGCACCTGTACAAGAGATGCAAACAGTCTCTGTAGCACCTGTACAACAGACAAACAGTCTCTGTAGCACCTGTACAAGAGACGTAAACAGTCTCTGTAGCACCTGTACAAGAGACGCAAACAGTCTCTGTAGCACCTGTACAACAGACAAACAGTCTCTGTAGCACCTGTACAAGAGACGCAAACAGTCTCTGTAACACCTGCACAACAGACAAACAGTCTCTGTAACACCTGTACAACAGACGCAAACAGTTTCTGTAACACCTGTACAACAGACGCAAACAGTCTCTGTAGCACCTGTACAACAGACAAACAGTCTCTGTAGCACCTGTACAAGAGACAAACAGTCTCTGTAACACCTGTACAACAGACGCAAACAGTTTCTGTAACACCTGTACAAGAGACGCAAACAGTCTCTGTAGCACCTGTACAACAGACAAACAGTCTCTGTAGCACCTGTACAAGAGACAAACAGTCTCTGTAACACCTGTACAACAGACAAACAGTCTCTGTAGCACCTGTACAACAGACAAACAGTCTCTGTAACACCTGTACAACAGACAAACAGTCTCTGTAACACCTGTACAACAGACAAACAGTCTCTGTAGCACCTGTACAACAGACAAACAGTCTCTGTAACACCTGTACAACAGACAAACAGTCTCTGTAACACCTGTACAACAGACAAACAGTCTCTGTAACACCTGTACAACAGACAAACAGTCTCTGTAACACCTGTACAACAGACAAACAGTCTCTGTAACACCTGTACAACAGACAAACAGTCTCTGTAGCACCCGTACAACAGACAAACAGTCTCTGTAACACCCGTAGTACAATGAGCATGTGAAACATCTCAAGAACACACAATAAGCCTCTTAACCATCCACAATAATTTGTGTCATGACAAAATCTTCCAACTCACATCCTTGAGACCAAGCTCTCCCGAGTATTCCAAACCAGCTCGACACTTCACTCCAGGCAGGTGGTCAAAGCCAACGACACTTGATGCCATCTTCACCCCACACTCTGGCTCCTCTACGGTGTGCTTGATCACTTTGTTGAAGTCGAGGTGGTCAGACAAACTGCAACATACACCCAACATTATCATGGCTGAATCCTGCAACTACATCATGACAGCCTGTCATCAGCCATCCAGGAAGTCACTGCCAACTGAGTGAGTGAGCGAGTATGGTTTTACACCGCTTTTAGCAATATCCCAGCAAAATCATGGCGGGGGACACCAGTAATGGGCTTCACACCCATGTGGGGAATCGAACCCGGGCCTTCAGTGTGATGAGTGAACACTTAACCACTAGGCTACCCCACTGGCCCCTGTTGCCATCTGAGTCCTAGTCCATGTAACCTTCCAATCCTCATGTAAGTTTGCTGATTCAACAAGAAAGTGGAAATCGAGACATTTTTGGTTTGGTACAATATTCCAGGTGTATCTGAGCAGGCAGCAAATAATCCGATCTACACCAGACAAATATGTGATGTACATTATGTTTGTTGGTTTATTGTTTAACACCACACTCGGCAGTCTTCCAGCTATATGATGGCGGACTGTAAATAATCGAGTCTGGACCACACAATCCAGTGGTTGACATCACGAGCATCGATCTATGCAAGATTTATATTATTAGTACTGACTGACTGAGTTTAGTTTTACGCCGCTTTTAGCAATATTCCAGCAATATCACGGCGGGGGACACCAGAAATGGGCTTAACACATTGTGCCCATGTGGGGAATCGAACCCGGGTCTTCGGCGTGACGAGCCAACGCTTTAACCACTAGGCTACCCCACCGCCCCCTATATTATTAGTAACATTTCCCCCTTCTAGGCATGGTGTCAAGCATTCAACCATGTCACAGAATCTGACCACCAAATCTATTTCTAGCTTCTAAGAACTATTGAGCAACAGTTCCTACCACTCCTTTTCTCCTCCCGGCGTTAAAGCTACCGGAGGAACTTCTATCCTGGTGAGGCAGGGCATCCTCAAAAGCCCTGTTCCACTTAACACCAATCTACAATCTGTTGCTGTCCGCATGACTCTGAACATAGGGTTTACACTATGTTCACTCTATCTTCCTCCTTCCTCAACTATCCTACTCTTAACCAGAATCCCGAAAGGTCTATCACTTGTATTTTAGTGAGGGAGAGAGAGTATTGCATTACAGTCCACAGCTCTTATAAATAAACAATTACAGGAGAGGGCATACAAGCCTGACTCACTCGATTCCCTTGGCTGTGACGGACAACCATGTTGACGTAAACATCCGGAAGTCCACCTCCTTCACAGACGAACACATCACAGGATCAAAGTCAACGTCATATCCACTCTTGACATGGATGGAGGTATCTGAAGAAGAGATCAACCATACTCAATACAAACAGCGTCTAGGTCTGTAAATAATCAAGTCTGGACCAGACAATCCAGTGATCAACATCATAACTGACTGACTGAGTTTGGTTTTACACCGCTTTTAGCAATATTCCAGCAACATCACGGCGGGGCACACCAGAAATGGGCTTCACACATTGTACCCATGTTGGGATTCGAACCTGGGTGTTCGGCGTGACGAGCCAACGCTTTAACCACTAGGCTACCCCACTGCCCGATCAACATCATAAGCATCGCTCTACACAAATGGGATACAATGACATGTGTCAACCAAGTCACCGAGCCTGACTACCCGATCCCGTTAGTCACCCCTTATGACAAGCATGGGTTCTTCACTCCGATCTTCATGGGTCACTCTCTTCTGAAACTTCAAACATGACACAAAACTATTTTAAGTGTGTAAGAGTAATTTACATGATTTTCAATCTGTTTGTAGCAAATTCATGAGGACATAAGCTATATCAACTCATTACCAACAAGTATTTCCTCACCTGGCAGTTCAACATCAGGTAGAGGAAGACAGTCGTCCGTCATCTGAGATCCAAGTGGATGACCTGGGGGGGCTGGCAAATCCTTAACACCGTCATCCTCAGAGCTGGAGCCCAGGAGAGCATCCTCGAGCTGCTGGCAGGACTTAAGGTGTTTGTCGATGAGCCTCTCCAAAGCCTCCACGTCCTGCTCCAACTTCACTGTGTCCACCTCCAGTATCTACAGAATATTAAGTAAGTGAGTGAGTCTAGTTTTACGCCCCTTTTAGCAATATTCCAGCAATATCACGGCTGGGGACCCAGAAACAGGCTTCACACATTGTGCCCATGTGGGGAATTGAACCTTGGTCTTCGGCATAACGGCTTTAACCACTAGGCTACCCCACAGCCTCCTACAGAACATTAAGATTACATATTGCATCCAAACATGTTGAACAAACTGCATTATACATGTTATTTATGATCAAAAAGTGTACTGTTAATCAACAGATGGTTTACTAACCTAACTGATACAGTCAGTAATCTCTGACTGACAACATAATGAGATATTTGTATGTAAATATAAGTCCTATAAGTGTAGATTTCTTCACTATATGATTTACACATGAAAATGAAAATTATCACTAGTCCATAACATGCTATTTGCAGTGTATGAAATAAAACCCGTCCGACCGACCGAGACGGTCTAGATTTCTGACGGATGGTCTAAATTTACAGCTAGCCAGCCCGATGGTCTGTTTAATTTTTTAGATGTTCCATACATCTGAGTAAATTCACCATATTTGGTCTGGTTAAATCCATTTTGGGCTGGTAACATTTTGAAGTAGCCAGCCCTGATGTCTGGCTGGATTTTGGGCTTATTTCATACACTGCTATTTGATTGGTCATTTAACCAATCACTCAGCAGTATTTCAACATGAGAAGCCTGTACAATCAGACCAGTGGTTGATACTGAGAGCAACAGTGTTACCATCAGGGTACAATGCTATCCAGTAAGCCACTGATTCTACTAGGTCACCTTACAAGCAGACATAGCAGTGGAGTTGCAAGCCACAAATCACCTACAGTAATCACTTATTCCAGCTTGCAACTGAAGCCCAAAATGGTGGCGTGATTACTTGCCTTGACCTAATGAAGGATGTAATAAAAGTGTCTTGATGACGAGCTGATGAAAGTATGAAAATTGATGAATACTTTGAAGATATTGAGCAGAGGATGCTGGGATGCCAGCTTCCTTTGCCCATTTCCCAGCTGATCCAGTAAAGAATTACATTCTCCGCTGTTAAACTAAACAGTTAAACGCTATTTTAGTTAGAGAACGAAGCGACCTCAGCCAGCGATTAGCACTTAACTGAGGCAAATTACTGTACATCGCTTCTAAGCGAACAGCTGTTTTCACTGGATCTTAATTCTAAACCAGATTTCCCAGAGAACATTACTGTCCTCACAACAGAGGATAAGGTGTGATATCATGATATACATAAAATATAGAATTAACACATAAACAGGTAAAAAAACAGGTAAGTATAACACGAAAAGAAAACATGTTTGACCATAAGAGATATGAAATAAGTTAAAAAATTAGAAAATAAACTTACACTAAAACATCAAGAACAACAGAATTATACAACAGTCTCATACACAGATATATTCTGCTTCAAAATAATCAAGACATGCTGAAAACATGATATACCTACACATATTGACCAGGCTGCAATTACAGATTTGGGTTGATATATGGGTTAACAGCGCTATCCACATTTGTCAATGTTACAGTACTATAGAGAAAATGTAGATGATGATGGGGAAAAGCTTATTGATTTAAAACACATTGATTAAGTACTACAATGGCCTTGCAACAGAATTTTTAAATCTTCGAATACACAGTATATTTGATGATAGTATATTCAGAAAATAGAAAGTTTAGCTACGCAAGCACATATGTTGTTAATGTTATAAAAAATTACAAAAAATAATTAAGATTGCATCAAAATTTAAAACACAATAACATAAAATAATCACAAGCTTTCTACATTAAATCTACGTAAGCCAATTCACATGCAAGACTGTTGCTATGGATACAACTCCTGCCAACAAACGGATGATCACAGTTCAAAATGTACAAAACAATCTGAGCAACAGTTAGATTTTAGCAATATGCCAGCAATGTCACAGCTGGGACACCAGAAATGGGCTTCACACTTTGTACCCATGTGGGGAATCGAACCCGGGTCTTCAGCATGACAAGCCAATGCTTTAACCCTGAGGCTACCCAGCGCTCTCACCTTAGGATTAGGGTAGTTAAGTCAATGCTAAGGCATGGGAGTTATGATCACCTGACTGCTAAGATCACTTTGTACAACAGCACACTAATCTTGAAGCATTTAACAGAAATACACAAACTTGACCCTAACATTGTATTATGAAACTCAACAGACTAGTAATTTTGTAATGCTTTCTCATAACACAGTCTACCAGTAGTTGAAGGGAACGATCTAACAAGAGTGAGTTTTAGTTTTACGCCGCTTTTTAGCAATATTCCAGCAATATCACGGCGGGGGACACCAGAAATGGGCTTCACACATTGTACCCATGTGGGGCATTGAACCCGGGTCTTCGGCGTGATGAGCGAACGCTTTAACCACTAGGCTACCCAACCGCCCCTCAATCTAACAAAATACAGAACATGATCAAACATATTTCCAGAGAAACACTGCATACACCTTATCTTATTAGGATTTTCCTACAAGCAATACTCTTATAATTCAAAGGAGCTGGTCTGGTCGCTAAGTGTTTTGCTTACTTGCACTGATTCAAGCTAACAGATGACAAACATTGCAAGCTACATACAGACTTTATACTGCAAAGTCTTCAAATCATGCCACATACACATAATCAGCTCTATCGCATGCAGCAACTGAATACACTTCAACTTTTCAACTGTCAACCATTGTGCAGGTAATTTCATAAATTCTCTAAAAAACAAGTGCCACTAACCCAGATGAAGGAAATTTCATAAATGGAGTAACAGAATTTTACCGGTTTGCATTACTGCAAATTCTGACAATATGAAGGCAGTTAAAAAAGTATTCTCCCAAATTCCCCAACAAATATCTAGGGGAAAGGGAAAAGTAAACCGTCATAAATAGAAAAATACAGAAATGTGTCCAAACAACAAAGATATTAAAGAAACAGCTGGACAACAAGGCAGACACAGTAATTAGGAAATCATGCGTCTAGGTAAATCAAAGCAATGAAATCGTGCTTACAATAAACAAGTTTGACAAAGGAGAAATGCATGCATCGGTAATCTGACACTTACTCCAGCATCATCGACTCCTGCTGCGATCAGGGGAAGCAACTCTCAGCAATACTTGACCCTGCTCCGTCCATAGAGTGAGTGAGCGAGTATTTAGCTTTATAGTAATATCACAGTGGGTACACCACAAATGGGCTTCACACATTGTACCCATGTTGGGAATCGAACCCAGGCTCTCTAACCACCAGGCTACCACACCGCCCCAACCATAGAGTATCTTCTTGTCAGGTGTCCTTGATTGCAATTTGCAGGTCCTGACCCACCCATACGTACGTTTTTTCTAATCTATATCCTGCCTCTTTGTCTTCTCAATATTATTGTATCAAATGAAATATGAAATCTTTTCTGCGTCACATTAGTATTTTTCTTCTCTGAGATGAGTTTTCTCTTTCCTCAGGTCAAATATTTAGGTTTCCCTGAAGATACATGATTACTTTTCTCTTCTCAGAAGTCTCATGATCTGTTTTTCCTTCTCTGAAGTCACATGGGTAGGTTTTCTCTTCCCTGATTAGTTTTCTGATGTCACAAACTCTGTCTTCTCTGTTATGACATCATCTGTCTTCTCTGGTGCCAAATCTGGAGAATCAAACCTGGGCGTGAGGCACCACAAGTGAACGCTTCATCCACCAGGCTACCCTATCTGGGCACACTGGTGACCATACTGAATGTATGAGGCACCACAAGTGAACGCTTCATCCACCAGGCTACCCTATCTGGGCACACTGGTGACCATACTGAATGTATGAGGCACCACAAGTGAACGCTTCATCCACCAGGCTACCCTATCTGGGCACACTGGTGACCATACTGAATGTATGAGGCACCACAAGTGAACGCTTCACCCACCAGGCTACCCTATCTGGGCACATCCACCAGGCTACCCTATCTGGCTACACACTGGTGGTGACCATACTGAATGTATGAGGCACCACAAGTGAACGCTTCATCCACCAGGCTACCCTATCTGGGCACACTGGTGACCATACTGAATGTATGAGGCACCACAAGTGACACTGGTGACCATTTCCATCCACCAGGCTACCCTATCTGGGCACACTGGTGACCATACTGAATGTATGAGGCACCACAAGTGAACACACCAGGCTGGGCACACTGGTGACCATACTGAATGTATGAGGCACCACAAGTGAACTGCTTGAATGTATGAGGCATCCACCAGGCTACCCTATCTGGGCACACTGGTGACCATACTGAATGTATGAGGCACCACAAGTGAACGCTTCATCCACCAGGCTACCCTATCTGGGCACACTGGTGACCATACTGAATGTATGAGGCACCACAAGTGAACGCTTCATCCACCAGGCTACCCTATCTGGGCACACTGGTGACCATACTGAATGTATGAGGCACCACAAGTGAACGCTTCATCCACCAGGCTACCCTATCTGGGCACACTGGTGACCATACTGAATGTATGAGGCACCACAAGTGAACGCTTCATCCACCAGGCTACCCTATCTGGGCACACTGGTGACCATACTGAATGTATGAGGCACCACAAGTGAACGCTTCATCCACCAGGCTACCTATCTGGGCACACTACCATACTATCTGGGCACCACTGGTGACCATACTGACTGTGACCATACTGAATGTATGAGGCACCACAAGTGAACGCTTCACCCACCAGGCTACCCTATCTGGGCACACTGGTGACCATACTGAATGTATGCATATTTCCAAAATCTTGACACCATTCAATATAGTACAAACTTTTTTCAAACTGTAACAAATCATCCTCTGTTCCTGGTTTCACCCTCAATCTTCAATCAGTAGACAATTGGAGGCCAGCTGAGAGTTTATACCACATTTAGCAATATTCCAGCAATATCACAGCAGGGGGACACCACAACATGGCTTTATGTATTCTACCCATG